GGGGGGCGGGGGCCGGCGGGAGCCCAATGCGGGGCTGGTTGGGGGGCGATTGTCCTGGCAGCCCCGGTGCCAGGGCCCCAGCGAAGCCGAGCTGAGTGTGGGGTTTGCAGGGGACTGTGCCGGCAGCGCCCCCAACAGGGCCCTGTCTCCTGGTCACCCCTTCCCCTTTGCGTGCCCTGGATGCCACCCCAGGGCTGGCAGCTGGGGGTCGGGCTCAGTGAGGGGGTCTGTCTGGGCAGCTGCTGCGGGCTCCCCCTCGGCTGGGCCGGGCCACCCTGGGATTGGGCGTTTGCCCGGCTTCCCCCGGTGCTGGGCTGGCTGGCACTTGTTTGCCCTTGGGCAGCATCTGCTGCACATGGTGTTAGTTTCGCCCTAGACCCACCAGCCCCCGGCGGGGTATAAATAGGGGCTGACGCTGCCCAGGGCCAGGACAGGTGCCTGGGTCTGCAGGGGTAGCAGGGCGCAGCCGGAATGCCAGCTGCAGCCAGCAAGGCGCCCGGGCAGCAGCGATGGGAGACAGCGGAGCAGGAACTAGACACCTTCCCCTGGGCGTGAGGCCCAGCCTGCCAAGGAGCAGGGATCCAGGGAGAGCTGTGCACAGCCTGGAGCCAAGCCTGCCAAGGGCCAAGCAGCCTGGGAATGCCCCATCCCCCCACCTCTTGGCACCAGCTGTGGGCACGGAGCTAGGAATGAGCAAGGGGCTGCAGCATGTCCATCTCGCATCCGTTTGTGAGCCAGGCTCCGGCTCTGCAGCTGACCTGCCAGGACCCTGGCAAGCCCTCCCTGCTCTGTGCCCCTGGTTCCCAGCTGTCAATCAGCCTGCCCCAGTGAGCGTCACTGTCTTTGGAAGGAGTATCCCATTCCCTGCCCCTGGAGCCAGCCAGTCCCTGACCTGGGAGCAGTGGGGGCCAGCACCCCCTGGAGGGGACGGGCCTGGTGTCCTAATCGGAGTCGCAGAAGATGGAGTTTGGAAGAGACCATTGAGTCCAGCCCCCTGCCCAAAGCAGGACCAACCCCAACTCCGTCATCCCAGCCAGGGCTGTGCCAGGCCAGGGCTTAACCCTCTAGGGATGGAGACTCCAGCCCCGCCCACAGCTTCCCCACCTGCCCAGGGGAAGAGTTTTTCCTAATATCCAACCTGGACTCCCCCACTGCAACGTGAGCCCATTGCTCCTTGTTCTGCATCTGCCCCCAATGGGCTCGTCTACACTGGCCCCTTTTCTGGAAGGGGCATGTTAATTTCACCTATCGTAGTAGGGAAATCCGCAGGGGATTTAAATATCCCCCGCGGCATTTAAATAAAAATGTCCGCCGCTTTTTTCCGGCTTTTAAAAAAGCCGGAAAAGAGCGTCTACACTGGCCCCGATCCTCCGGAAAAAGCACCCTTTTCCGGAGGCTCTTATTCCTACTTTAAAGCTACTCTTATTCCTACTTTAAAGCTAGTCTTTAAAGTAGGAATAAGAGCCTCCGGACGCGGGGGATTTAAATATCCCCCGCGGCATTTAAGAGGCTCTTATTCCTACTTTAAAGTAGGAATAAGAGCCTCCGGAAAAGGGCGCTTTTTCCGGAGGATCGGGGCCAGTGTAGACGCTCTTTTCCGGCTTTTTTAAAAGCCGGAAAAAAGCGGCGGACATTTTTATTTAAATGCCGCGGGGGATATTTAAATCCCCCGCGGATTTCCCTACTACGATAGGTGAAATTAACATGCCCCTTCCAGAAAAGGGGCCAGTGTAGACGTAGCCAATGAGAACAGCCTCTCCAGCCCCTTTGGAGCCCTCTTCAGGGAGGTGCAGGCCGCTCTCAAATCCCCCCTCGCTCTGCTCTTCTGCAGACTGAGCGAGCCCCAGTCCCTCTGCCACGTGCTTCAGCCCCTCAGCATTTTCATTGTGCTCTGCTGCACTTTCTCTAACGCGTCTAAATCCTTTCTGAAATGGGGGCCCAAACCTGGCCGCAGTACTCCAGGTGTGGCCTCACCAGTGCCGAATGCAGGGAATCCCTTCTCCCTTCACCCTGGCTGGCTCGGCCTCCCCAGGTGGTACTGACAGCTGGCTGGCTCCTCACACCCAGAGGCAGGGGGGTGTCTAGTCCCTGCTCTGCCATCTCCTGGTGCTGCTGCTCCTACTAATGCAGCCCAATGTGCTGTTAGCCTTCCTGGCTACAGGGGCTCACTGGTGACTCGGACCTAGCTTCTCAGCCACTGTCCTTTCCTGGGCCACCAGTTCCTGGCCGACTGCTGGAGCCAGTGGCCCAGGAAGGGGAAAGGCTGCCTATCCCTTGCCCCATGGGGATGCTCTGTCGCCTGCATGTCATGTCCTGGCTCCACCCTCTCACTCTCCTGTCCCCTTCTCCCCAGATAAGTGGTGACAGGTATGAGGGGGAGGTGCGGGCCTACGAGGTGCTGGCGAGGGGCGCAGCGCAGGAGCCCGAGGGCTGGCGGCACGGCGTGGCTGGGGTCCGGGATGCCGTCAGCAAAGAGAAACAGAAGGTGAAGGAAGAAAGGAGGAAGAAGGTGAGTGGCCGGAACTCTGCATGGCTGTAAATGGGCTTCAGGGGGCAGGATCATTTTGGATCCACAGAGTCTGTCCCCCATCCCTGGGTCGCTCATGGGCAGAGCCCCAGCTTGCTTGTCCTGCTCTGGGAAGGGCAGAATGGCATTTGGTGCCCCTCCCTCCTGGCTGGCAGCCCTGGGCTTCCCCCATCCTGCTGTGCCCCTCCCTCCCGGCTGGCAGCCCTGGGCTTCCCCCATCCTGCTGTGCCCCTCTCAGCCCTAGGCTCCCCCACTCCCATCTCCCGTTCAGCAGAGTGGAATTGATCCACGATGGTCTCTGGGCTGGTGGAACTGGGTCTTTGGGGGGCAGGAATTCTCCTCCATCGTCCTAGACTCTGTCTCCCTTGAACTGAGCTCACAGGCCGAGATCATAGAACCATAGAGCTGGAAGAGACCTCAGGAGTCATCAAGTCCAGCCCCCTGCCCTAGGCAGGACCAATCCCAATTAAATCATCCCAGTCAGGGCTTTGTCAAGTCGAGACTTAAACACCTCTAGGGATGGAGGTTCCACCCCCTCCCTAGGGAACCCAGCCCAGGGCTTCCTAGTGAAATAGTTTTTCCTAATATCCAACCTGGACCTCTCCCACCTCAACGTGAGACCATTGCTCCTTGTTCTGCATCTGTCACTACTGAGATGTCTGGGGTGACCTGTGAGCCTGGTTCCTTTCCAGGGCTCCCTCACTGTCCCCACCCCAAGTGGGTGAGTTTTGTCATGTCGAACCCTGCAAATCCGGCTCCGTGTCCTGCTCTGGCTGTGGAAATCTGCCGCTCGTTTGGGCAGCTTCAGCTGCGGATAGAAATTGTGTATCCACACGGGGCTGCAGCTGTGTGCAGGGGGCGTGCAGCTCCTCACCTGCGTATCGGTGCAATCGAACTAGGGTGGTGGGAGGGAGGCCAAAGGGTTCTGAGTGGGGGGCAGGGGGTTCGCCGGCTCGGGGATCTCTCTCTGCAGCCCTGGGGAGCTGTGCAGCTTGGGGGGCCTTAGTTCCTGCGCCACACTCAGGGCAGGGGCGGCTGGGCTGGTGCTGGCCCTGCCCTAAGTGGGCTGTGGCTTCCCCGGCCAGATAGAGACGTTCAGCAGCTCTCGGCTGCGGCTGGAGAGCCTCCAGGACTTGGAGGCCATCGTCAAGCAGAGACAGCACAAGAAGAGACTGAGGAGGGTGGTCCGCCCCAAGGAGCCGGAGCCAGAGCCCAAGCCAGCCGTCAAGGTGAGCAAGGCCCCTGGGCTCAGCCCAGAGCCGGGGGAGGGGCTCTGATCACTGGTGCCTGCAGGCTGGCTGGGGGTTTTAGCGCCTGCCCCCCCCCCCAGAATGGGGGGCACTGCCCAGGCACTCACCCTCCCTGTCCACCCTAGGCGGCACCTGTGGATGCGGCGCGGTTCCTGCAGGCCGTGCGGGAGAACCAAGTCCCCCTGATTGACAAGTATCTGGCAGACGGCGGGGACCCCAATGCTCACGACCAGGTGCGGGGGGAGGGGCTCTGGGGCCTGAACCCAGGATGTGCATTGAGCAAAGCGCAGCCCTCTGAGCCCCTCGGGTCCCTGCTCTGTGGCCGGGGGTCCAGCTGTGGCCTTTGACTGGGCAGGGGAGGGGGGACAAGGGATCCAGTGCGCTGGTGCCTGCAAGGGCTCTGTGGCCTGTAGGGGGTGGGTGGGTAGTGGGGGGGCTCTGGGCCT